CACCCAAACTCCCCACCCTCCCTACTGTCACAATCAAAATCCTACCAAAGGGGTAGTGATGAAACCTAATCTCTAAGATTAGGTAAACCTATCACTTAATAACATTAAATCAACAAACACTTAATATAATAAGACAGTTTAGTATAAAGGCAAAAATAGAGTTGACATTAGGGCTGTCTAAGGGGAGGGGAGTACCCATAACTGGTTCAGACTGTACCAGTAACGCTCCGTACCGGTTCGGTTTTGGGGGTAAGGGTAGAGGATTTAGGTAAAGGGTACGAGGACTGGGAGGGTACCGGAAAAAGTACCGATAGGCCCGGTCCAGTTGGTACCCTTAAGGTACCGAACCGGTACCTTTAACTTTTCTTCTTCTTCTTTTTTAAAAGCATCCATTTTTGTACCGTTAGCCAAGGCTATTTTAAAAAAAATTAGTCGTTGGCAAAGGCAAAAAAAATCGCTATTTTTTCCTCCCTACCCCCTTAACACCCCCTACCCCCTAATTTATGTTTTAAACCCATAAGTTTGTTCAAATACACTTTGGCCCTATTTTAAAACTATAAATACCTCATTTCATTCTTTTCAATTTTCACACAAAACTCTCATATCTCTCTAATTCTCTATCTCTAATTGTAATTAATGTTCTAGCACTATTATTAAGTTTCGTATTTATTTTTGTTATACTTGTATTGCTATTTGTTGTTATTTTAATTATTTATTATTTAAAATGGCTCCTAAAGTGGTAAAAAAAGTGCGTAATAGATTGACTAAGGGTAATGCTAAGGAGGGGGAGTCCTAGTTTTGAAATAAATCCTAACCAGTCCGGGTTTATTCGTTACATATAAGAAATATATAATCCTGCTTTTTAAGGTTTTCCTAGAACAATTGTTAGAAATAATGTTTGCGATGATGAAGGAAATAAAGACTTGCTGAAATATTGGATTAAAGAAGAGAGAAGAAACTTTAGCCTTCCAGAAATAATTCAAGAAGACGACGATTCCTATATTGAAATACCATCTACCAGATACAACGGGAACGCAGAAGAACAAGTGCTATCAATTTCAAGCGAACAACAAATAAAAGTTATTGAAAATCCATAAATCGTTCAAAAGAAACATGTAATTTTATTTTTATAAGTATTGAAATAAAAGTATTGATTTTTTTCTATCCCGTAAAGTTTGTGTATATTTAAATATAATAATTTTTTTAAATTTTAATCTAAAAATACCCCTAAGTACCCTCCCCCAGGACCGGTAGTGGTACTGGTACGGTACCCCTAAAAATTCCCTTAACTTGTACCCTTAATTTTCCTTAACCACAGTCCCCTTAAGTAACCCTCTCCGTACCGGTACATCCCCCGTACCTAGTCCCCTTAAGTACCCAAAACCCTCCCTTTAGATAGCCCTAAATAACACAAGCTAAAATGGTAATACTCAGTACATCTATCTAGAACTAGGTAGTACAGAATTATGGCTCTAATTGGGTACATGCGGAATTTTCAAAATAAAATTTTGTTCAAATGTAAAATTAACAGTATCAACATAAAGGATGAGATTCCAAGGGACTGCGACAATATGCAGCTCTACCTTAAATCCTCACGACCGATGCAAGCTCTCAATATCAAGATCTGCTACCTCCAACACCTGGATCTGCACAAAAATATACATAAGTGTAGTATGAGTACACCATGATCGGTACTCAGTAAATATCAAGACTAACCTCGGTGAAATAGTGACGAAGTTCAAGTCATATGATATTCACTAGTCCAATAATCTGTGCAATGTATCAATAATTGGCAACAGAATATGTAAGAAAAAATAATATCAACAATCCCGTTAGAACATGTGATAACACTCAACGAAGAAGAATCCATCTTTGACAACAAATCATCAAATAGAAGTGGAGGCATATAAAGGCATGTCAAATTCAATAAACAACTCATAAAAATACAAGACGGAGATTTAAGAAACATTCATATGAACAAAATATAATCCCCATTTGAACACATAAAAACATCAAGAGAAACACCCCTAAATCATCATATAAAATCATCAACAATGCCACCCTTATTTCGTTGCATGTGCAAATAATAATAAATTCTATCCTTATTTCGCTACATGAGCATATCCTGACTCCCGACAAAAGTTAAAAATTTCGACTACCCATTCGAATACAAGTCCAAATATATAAGTTTCAACGACTCCGAATCGAGGTTCAAACCTCCATTTTTCATACTCCAAAACTATAATCAAAATCCCTAAATTTTCCTGTTAGATTTTATCAATCGAAAGTCAAAATTAAAGATGGAATCATTAAATAAAATCAAATTAAATTCAAGAACACTTACCCCAGTCCAAGTGGTGAAAATTGCCTAAAACATCACCTCAATCCGAGCTCCCAATCTCAAAATATAATAAAATAAGTCAAACCTTCGATTAAATTAGTTCTGCCCAGCGATTATCGGTTCTGCGATACAAATGTCGCTTCCGCGACACTGCATCTGCGAAAAATACCTCGAAGATGCGGAAATCACTTATGCCTTCGCCCTTCTGCTGCGAACAAAAGTCCGATCCAGCGAAGCTGCTTTTATGCATCAAGTAGCGTACCTGCGCAAAAATAGCCGCATATGCGGACATTCCTGAACCCATCCAAGCTCACATCTGCGAAGGTCCGCTTTAGCAGACTCGCACCTGCGGACCAAATCTGACAGGTATGAAGACACCAAACTTGATTAGCCAATTCAATCTCAAATGATCCGAAACCCATCTGAGGCCCCCGAGACCCTGTCCAACCACACCAATAAGTCTCAAAAGCATACCACAGACCTTATCAAGATCCCAAATCACACTAAATAACATCAAAACTACGAATCGCACCTCAATTCAAGCCTAATGAGCTAATCAACTTTCAAGCTTCCAAAACTTACGCTGAACCACGTCTAGCCAACTCGAAATAACCCCAAATTTTGCACACAAGTTTCAAATTATATAATGAACCTATTTCAACTTCCGAAATAACAATCCGACCCCGATAACATCAAAGTCAAGTCCCGATCAAACCTGTGAACTTTCAAACCTTCAATTTTTCAACTTTCGTCAATTAGAGACAAATCAATCTAGGAACATTCAAATCCCATTTCAGACATACACCTAAGTTTAAAATCACCATACAAACCTATTGGAACCATCAAAATACCATTCAGGGGTCGTTTATACAAAAGTTCAATCACTGTCAACTCTTAAAACTTAAGCTTCCAACCTTGGAACTAAGTATTCCAATTTAATCCAAAACCTTCCCGAAACCAAACCAACCATCCCTGTAAGTCACATAACAACAAATACATATATGAGGAGCATCAAATAGGAAAATGAGGCTCAAATACACAAAGCGACCGGCCGAATCATTATATTCTTCCCCTCTTAAACAAATGTTCATCCTCGAACGAGTCTAAAATCATATCTGGGATATCAAAAAGATAAGGATATCTGCTATGCATATCATGCTTGGTCTCCCAAGTTGCCTCCTCGATTGGTTGACCCCTCCACTGAACCTTCATCAATGCAATATCCTTCGACCTCAGCTTCTGAACCCGCCTATCCAAAATGGCCACTAGCTCCTCAACATAAGTCAAATCCTTGTCCAACTATACCGAGCTGAAATCTAACACATGTGACGGATGCTCATAGTACTTCCGGAGTATGAAAACACGAAATACTAGATGAACTCCTGATAAGTTGGGTGGAAAAGCAAGTATGTAGGCCACCTCACCAACTCTCTCTAACATCTCGAAAGGACTAATATACC